GGAACGCGGTGCAGAGGAACTCTGGCCTCAACCGGTGCGGCAAGAGCTGTAGGCTCCGTTGGGCCAATCATCTCCGTCCCAACTTGAAGAAAGGTGTCTTCTCTCGTGAGGAAGAGAGGCGCATTCTTGAGCTGCACGCAAAGTACGGCAACAAATGGGCTCGCATGGCTTCTCAGGTAACTATTATCTATTTTTGTATTTCATTATAATAATTTCCTCATTTCATTTCTGGGTTTTCGATTTTTTCTGCTGCCCATGTTTTTGTTTTGGCCAAAACAAAAAATGTTGGGTTTGGTTGTAATTTTAGTTTTCTTTTTTTGTTAGTTACCTGGGCGAACAGACAACGAAATAAAGAATTACTGGAACACTAGGGTCAAGAGGAGGCAACGCCAATGCCTACCCCTATATCCCCATGACATTAAACAATCCCATTCCCAAGCCACCTCGCTAACAATCCCAAGTCTCGCCCCACTCACAACCACAATCCAAAACCCTTTCCAACCCATCACCAATGGCTCAACCCCAACTTTTTCTTTCCAAACCCAAAGCCCAACCCAATCCCATCATCTGCTACAACTCTCCCCAACTCCACCATCTCTCTCTCCTCTCTCCTCCCCACACCAGACCAAGCCCACTACTCTCACTTCCTTCCCTCCTTTTGATCCCATCAACACCATCACCTCTTCCTTCTCGTCATCCTCCACACCCTCCCTCACCTTCCACCGCCCCGCCCCCATCCTTGGAGCCCCATTGCGCCACAAACGGTGTCGGGACTCCATAAGATTCTCCCCACCACTCTCCCCAAACCTGAAAAGAAATACTTCCATGTTCCGTACCAGTTCAATGCCTGAAATTGCCTCTTTTCAGTTGACAGGCTCCAACTCAATGCCTGCCATTGCATCCTTGACCCGCACCTACTCGATGTCTGACAACCCCTCCTTCGAGTTCCCCATGACTTTCGACCATTCTTTCCCGCCACTGCCTCGTTCTCAGTTCGATTTCTCCAACAATTTTCTGTCACCTGCCGGCTCAGTTTATTCAGTCCAGTCGGAGCTCCCTTCAAACCAAGTATCCCAAACACAGCTTGAGATTTCCATTGATAACAATCTAAGCTCGGCGGCTGGGGCAGCACTAGCAGCCGCCGCCGACGAGACTCATAGCAGGAGTGGTTTGTTGGACGACTTACTACAAGAAGCTGATGCATTAGAAGCTTATGGTGGTGGAAATAATTCAAGGACAACAAATGGGATATTGGGTTCATTTGAAGAGAAGCATGTGTTGGATGGTTATGACCAATGGCTGCAGTCTACAAGCTCCGTTGATGGTCACCTTAATTCCTTGCATAAGGACTTGTCAAAGCTGTTCGGTTCCATCCCTTCATCGGAGTCGGTCTCAGATTTGTATAGTGACAGTGGAGAAGTCTCCAATGCTCACTCTTCTGGCATAACAGATGCTAATTTGGATATGCAGCAAATGGGTTCGATGTTCCCTACTGATGCCACAGCAGAGCATGGTAGGGCCTCTAGCTTTTGGGAAGAAGAGCAACTTTCTTACCACATGGACATGAACAAGGTCTTAATGACCCAGTACAGTTAAAAATTAATCATCAAATCAATCGGCAATGGATTCTAAGAAAAGATGATTCACACAATGCTATAGCAGCTGCTGCCCTCAAACTAACTAAACCTTTCTGCAGATTCATACCCCCAACAACTTTTCAATCCAAATTTTTTACCACAACGTTCCTGTCCGTGTGGGGAATGAACCACAGTTCCAAAGCTGTCCTAGAGTTTTCGCTGTGTTGGCAACAGCTGACTTTCCTAGCTTGAGCTAAAATGGGGGCTGTGGATTCAATCCAAAGAGTTGGGGGAGTGTTTAAACTGTTATGAACATCATTATTGTTCCTTTGGCCAAAATAATATGTTGAAGTGCATATACCAGTAATAAGAGAAATCTGCGTCTTTTGAACATTTATTCTTCTATTCTAATAAACTTATTTGAGAGATTCCTCAATTGAAGCTCTTTATATAATTTCGATTGCTAAATAAATATTTTGTAGAGTAATCCGCCAAAATTCCCCTCTACTTGTACTGTACTTTCCATTTGTCCCTCGAAAAGGCTTATACTCCAATAATATTGAACTATACAGGAACACAATATTTATACAGGTATTGCTCGGGTAACAGTCCTATACTAATTACAGAGTGAATTACAGAGTTAATTCTATAACTGAAAGCTGTTACAGATTATATTAAATGGGTGTCATTGATTGGGGGGTTACTAGTGTAACTCCCTAACATAAACGAATGCAAGTAGAAGGGTCCTTTTACATTTCTTTCAAAAAATAAATGGTATAGCCGAGCGGCTCTACTCCTTTTAAATATAATATACTTAGAGAGTATAGCCGCGCGGCGCCTGCACTTTGTTTGACACGTAGACCCGAATCGCTAGGCGGGCGCTAGGCGGATCCTCTATTTTTTTCCCCTAAAAATGAGTATAGCCGAGCGGCTTTACTGGGGTCTTTTTTTTTTTTTTTTGAGTTTTTCTTATGAAGCAGCTATACGCTTCTTACACATGGCGCCGAATCGCTAGGCGCTAGCTGGGTCCCTTTTTAATAAATAGTATAGCCGTGCAGCTATACTCGGGATTTTTTTATATTAGAAATAATATAGCCGCCGGATTTACTGGGATTTTTTTTATTCGTAGTTAGTATAGCCGCGCGGCCATACTCCCGATTTTTTTTATAGGGTTATTCGCAGCAATGGTCTCTCAACTATACCCGTAGTTACACTTTGGTCCCTCAATTCAATTATTAGTTGCAGGGGTCACTCAACTAGGTGCTATGTTGCACCAGTAGCCCCTCCGTCAAACTCTGTTAAATTTTCTGTCAAAAATGAGGGTAAATTTGGAAATTCATCCACAACCCTCAATTGTCGCAACCCAATCCTTGCTTTTCCTCTCTTGTACCAAAATCTGGGCAGAAAAAAGAAAAGAGAAAGACAACTCAATTGCTTCTCCTCCCTTGTACCAAACTCGCCACCCAATCCTTCCTCCCATCCCAACCCAGCACTCACTGTAAACCATCAACCATAAACATCCATCAATTTCTCTGTTTTTATATTTTGATTTTTCTATTCGTTTTTAGGAAGGTGTAAGCATCTATAAAGCCATCCACGGCAAATAATTGCACCACAAACGCAAATGAAAATTGTTCTCGGTTTCTTTAGCCGCCACGACGCCATTGATGGAAGCAGACGAAGTAATGGAGCTCTATGATTCTTACTAGTTTCAGCTCGGAATCTTCGAAAAGCAACCAAATTCATCAAACCCATCAAGGATTGAAGCAGACCCGGTTCTTGAAATTGAAGAAGAACCATCAAAACCAGAGCTTTTACGCATCCCGACCCTCCTCCGTACCAGGTCCATGAGCGAAGAATTGAGCTCCAAAACAAGCTTCAACTTCAGCTCCACTCCCTCACCAGACTCAGTCCTCCACAGACCAAAGCTCTTCACCATTCTCTCTGGCAAGGAAGCCACAGAAGTTGAAACCCCAA